AGGCCCAGGGCAGCACAGAGGAGCCCTTAGCGAGAATCTCGGGAGCCTGGGTGAACGGAGGGATGAGGGGAGGCGGGGGCCTCCATGCACAGACTTGCGCCCCTGCACAGGCTGCACTCCCCGCATCCCGGCTGCCCTGAGCCTGGCTGACCCCCCCCCGCCACAAGGCTGAGCTGTCACGGCCCCAAGTCCTGCACCTCACACTCAGGCGTGTGGCACCTGCTGGCACCAGCTGGCACCAGCTGGCACCAGCCCAGCCCCTCCACACCCACAGCCACCCTGCCCGGCCCAGAGCTGCCCATGGCCCTCCCGTCGCTCACACCATGAGAGCCTGGGCAAGACACAGCTGGGATGGGCATCAGCAGGAGGTGGACTTTGCCCACACCTGGCCCCATTCAGCCTGCAGACCTGGGCACGGCCAGAAGGAAGGCCACTGGTCCAGTGTGCCCAGCCAAGACACACAGACAGCTGCCACCCCCTCAGGGCAGGAGCTGGACACCTCTCAGGGCAGGGCCAGGCCTGCGGGCCTCGCTCCACCACAATGCGCGGCCTCGAGAGAAAGCAAACGCCCGCTCACCCCTGGGCGCCGGCACCTGCCATCCTTAGAGGAAGGAAGCCGGAGGGGTCGAGGCAGCCACAGGAGAGAAGAGGACAAAGAGTGAAGGCCGTCCGTCCACACCACCACCAGCCCACCCACCTGCCCACGCTGCAGCTCAGCCCCTGGGCCACGGGGCAGAGCCGGACCCACGCTGGCCAGTCCCCAGCACCTGTGGGCTGGGGCCCCAAGGCAGTGACCCTCCAATTCCCCCGAGCCTGGTGCAGCCACGGAACAGGGTGCGGTGCAGACCCAGCTCTCAGCGTCCTCAGCCCCGCCGGCCCGCGGCCAGTACCACACCCAGAGCCAGGCCTGGGCCCAAAGCTTTCAGATGCTGCAGAGGGGCCAGTCAGTCCCAGCTGGCGCCCACCCCAGCAGCCTCGGCCGGCAGGACAGTGGCCACAAGCCAGCCATGAGCCTGCTGCCGCCACAAGGAAAGCAGAAAAGCAGCAGTGGGGGAGGGGACGAAGCTGTGTCCACGCCCTGCTGTCTAACCGAGCGGCCCCTGGACACTGACTTGCAGGAAGGGTGGTGCCAGCAGGAGGGCAGCCAGGGAGGGGCACAGAGCGAGTGGCACTCGGAGGCCGGGCCCTGAGCCGAGACTCCCCAGTGTGGGCACTCCTGTCCCTTCCTGGGGAGCCCGCAGCCATCTTGGGCCACCACCACCACTCTGGCCCTTGTGGGCAGCAGGGTAGCCTGAGGACACGGGCCAATGTGGGATGGGGGAGGGAATGTCAGCCGGGGCACAGAGGCCCACTGACCACAGGGCAAGGGCAGGCCAGGGGAGGGGCCTTACCAGCTGCAGCACAGGGGTCCCAGGGCAGGGAGAGTCTGAGTCTCCCGGCCCCACTCAGGCTGACCGCCAGCCTCACCCCAGCAGCCCCACGCCGCCTCCTGGGCCCCTCCCCCGGCTTGCTGGACGGGAGGGGCGCAGCCCTGCCGCCAGGCCCGCTGCCATCTTGGGGGCTGGGGGCGGGGTGGGTGGGCAGGGTGTATACCTGTCTTCTCTGCTGAATTGGGGGTGGGCTTCAGCGATATCCAGGCTTTTACTGAACATTGCTTTACTACAGCGGGAACAAAGCGAGAAAACAGAGTTACTGACGCAGCCCTGCCAGGCGGCCCGGGAGGCCGACCTCGCAGCTCCGAGCTGGGCACAGCCTGCCTGGCCCCAAGCCAGGGCACACACCCGTGAGGGGGGTCCGGCAGCAGAGCGCGGGGCCACTGCGCACCCTGCCCTGGTGCCCTGCTAGGCAGCATGGCCTGGCCAGGCTTTGTGGGGTGCCTGGCACCACCATCAGCCCCAGGACCCCTCCAGCCCCAGCGGGTGTGGCCTGTTGTGGCGACAAGTGGCCAAGCCAGAGAGTAAGCAGAGGCCAAGGAGCAGCAGCAGGTGGGTAAGGGCCACGAGGAGGGGCTTCCTGGTGACCTGGGGCGGTACACGCCTGACCCCATCCTGGAAGGCAGAGCAGAAGTCACGACAGGCGGCCGCCCACGCCCAGCCCTGTCCTGCCCCAGGCAGGTGGGGTGTGAGGGGTGTGGGTGGCTGATGCGGGGGGGGCTGGTCAGCTCTCAGCCTGCCCTGTGGGTGACAGACAGGAGGCCAAGGGCAAGGCTGGGGAAAGGTGGGCTGGGAAGAGGCGACTCCCCGCCTGGACCACCGCAGGCGGCCCCGCTTCCCCGGGGCCCCACCAGGAAAGGTGCACCCGTAACAAGCAGCACCGCGGCCAGCAAGGCCCCGCCTCCGGCCCCCCTCCCCCCACCCCAGTGCTGGGGCCCATGGGCAGGGGCCACAGCTGTCTGGAGACCTGGCAGCAGGCCCCCAGAGGCTGGGACTCCAGATCAGTGGCTGAGCCAGCCTGGGTCCCTAGGGAGCGCCTGGAACCCCTGGGGTGAGGGGTGGGGTCTGTGGCCTGTGAGTTGGTCAGCCCAGTTTCATCGTGATGGTGGCCCAATGGCCCTGCAGTTACTCAGAGACCTGGCTGGCCCAGTACCCAGTACCCAGCTGACCAGGCGTGGCCAGGGCTGCTGAGACCTCAGGCCCAAGGGCTGTCCCCAGATCCCAGGGCTGTCCCCAAACTGAAGTCCCTGCCTAAGCAGCAACGCTTGGTCACACCCAGCCAGCCCTAAATCAGCTGAGCCTCTGCAGGACCCGATGCCCTCCGTTCCCCCATGAGGTCCGTCTGGACAGCCCAGACCTGCTCATTACAGCCCACCCCTCAAGTGCACGTCCCTGACCCCTGCACGGCCACAGGCAGCCCACACGCGGGGCCAGCGTCAAGCAGGGACAAGCTTACTGGGCTGCTGGCTCTGAGCAGAACCTGACCTCTGCCCGGCCCGGCTCATCCACTTAGATCCAGCTCAGCTTAGCCCAGTCCTGTACAGGATAGCCTAACCCATCCCAGTTTAATCCAGGTCAACAAAGCAAAGCCCTGCCCAGCTCAGCCCAGCCCGCTTTACTCCAGTCCAGCTCAGCTCAGCCAGGCCAGCCCAGCTCAATCCAGCCCAGTCTGGTTGAGTTCAGCCCAGATCAGCCCAGCCCAGTCCAGTCCAGCCCAGCCCAGCCCAGTGCAGCCCCACTCAGCTCAGCTCAGCTCAGCTCAGCACAGCCAGTGCAGCCCAAGCAGTCCAGCCCTGCCCAGAGGCCTCAGCCCAGCCCCACGGCCGGGGTGGGTGGCAGAGAAGAGCCAGGCCAGGCCAGGCCAGGCACAGCCCGGGAGAGGCGCCGGTGCTGAGCAGGCCAGGGCACCAGGGGGCGAAGCGCTGGGTCCTCCCACAAGGCACACACCTCTGGCCGTGCTGGGCCATCTCGATGGCCCGCCGCGCGGGCACCGGGGAGCCGCCGTCGGTCACGCTCAGCACCTCCATGGACTTGCGCTCGGGCCGCCGCTTGCCGTGCCGGTTCAGCATCGGGGAGTCCACACGCTTCCGGGGAGGGTCTGCGTGCAGACGGGGGTCAGGCCAGGCAGCCGGCTGGGCCCGGAGGGGCACAGGCCGGGCCACCCCCGGCCCCTGTACCTATCTCATTCCGGGGTGGCAGGTCCTCGTCCTCGTGGCTGGGGTACCTTTCTTTCCGGTCCAGGAGGAGGAAATAAATCATCTTCTCCTGGTTTTCCCTGCAGTGGGTGAGAGGCGCTGAGAAGGCTGGATGGGGGCTCCTGGAGGGCGGTGTCCCCACCCACAGCCTCCGCCAGGCCCCTGCCGCTGGCGCGGCCCACACGTACTCCTCGGACAGCAGGTCCTGCAGCAGCTTGTTGCGGTCTCGGAAGCAGCCCAGGGAGTGCATGCTGTCCAGCACATCAGGGTCCATGTCCTCCAGGCTGGGCAGCGAGCGGATCTGCACCTTGCGGGGGACAGGCTGCTCTGGCTCCGGCTCGTTCTTGCCTCCTCTGGGGGAGACAGGGCACAACGCCATGGGTCACTCACTGCTGGCCGGCCTGAGGCTCCTCCACCCCAGCCCTTCCTGGGGCCCCTGAGTCCTGCTGCTCTCCCTGCGCCCAGCCCCTGCACACCTCCTGCGTCCTGCCTGTGCCCAGTGCAGGCCGGCCGGGGGCCCGAGGGCCCGAGGCTGGAGGCAGGCCTGCGCTGGGCCGGGCCCTCCCCTCCCGCCTTCCCTAGTAGGCCCTGCAGGCCACAGCGGCAGGCAAAGCAGGTGATGAGGGGAGGAAAAGCTACTTACATATACCATATGTGTTTCTGAATGTGCTCTAGCTACAAGGAAAGAGAAACAGGGAGTTAGTACGAGGAAGGAGCAGAGGCCACGTTAGGAGGCCAGAGGGAGCAGGAGCAGGAGCAGGAGCGCGAGGAGGAGGACAGGAAGGTGGAGAGAGGAGGGCAGGGGGAGATGGATGGAGATGG